CCTACTATTCTCTGTCCCACAATTATCTCTCCCATCACAATTGTCTACCCCACCATAATTCTTTACCCCACCATATTTCTTTGTCCCACAATTCTCTATCCCACAATTTTATATCCCACATTTCTCTATCCAACGGTTCATTAACCCATAATTCTCTATCCCACAATTTTATATCCCACATTTCTCTATCCAACGGTTCATTAACCCATAATTCTCTATCCCACAGTTCTCTCACCATTACCAGCTAAACTAACATATTTGCGTGTTTTCTTGTTTTCTATTCCCAGTTTTATCGACGAGTTCATAGCTTCACAGGCAGCCGCATTCGAGCTGGAAATGCAGAAACTAGTACAAGAACAGGAAGAGATGGAGGAAGCAAAGAAAACAAAAGGAAAGAACGAAAAAGGAAAAAATGAAAGAGAAAAGAAAGGGAAAAAGAAAAACAAAAAAGGAAAGAAGGAGAAAAATACAAATGGAAAAGGAAAGAAGGGGAAAGGGAAAGTCGGGAAAAGAAATAAAAAAGAAAGCCGAAAAGGGAAATCAGTAATTCCATAACAGGTCAACAGGTTCTTTGAAGAAAAATGTGATTCACATATGCGAAATGTCTCAATTACACCTTTTCTAGTTGTGCGTTGCCTGAGCTATCTCTAGGTCGTCAACCGTCTTTAATTGTATAGGGTGGTCAAAAATTCGTGGCGCAACTTATGGTCAAATATCTCTTAAACTATCCAACATAAACTCTCCAGCTTGTGACTTGTATCGATATGTAATCATTATATTTTGTAAATAGATACTAATAAAAAATCCAGGTGGGTGTTTTGTACAGATTCTAAAAGGTTTACAGCTGGGACAATATCGCTCTTTAAAACAAGTCCGTCATTTTTTTCTTCTAAATGCGAGCAAAGCGAGGTAATGTTTATTGGACGCCTGTTTTGATAACTTTTACTTTAGTGCAAAAAAGTGCAGTGAACAATTCAATTTTCCGCGTGAAGAACATTTGTAGTAGTTTATAAACATTTATGAAGAAAAGTTTTTAAATCTGGATCTAGCCCCAAATGTTGTGGAAAAATAGGATTACGTTCAGACAAACTGATACAAACTGCTGTGCAAAGTATGGATTAAATTGATTCACCTGTTCAAAAAGATATTTGAGGATACGTTGCGCCTCGAAATTTTGATCGCGAGAATTATTTTTACGCCAGTCTTTTTTAGGTACGTTTTATAGCAATCATCTCTACGTCATACATCTTTTCTAGGTACATGTACACTTTAGGGAAATTATTTCTTCGTTATACGTAGTTTCTTTAATCCTTTTTTTTTTTTTTTTGTAAGCTATGATTTAAGGGAATATTCTCTAAGCTCTTGTTAAAATCAGAACTTATCAGTTACAGAAAAGACAACGTATTATAACTATTACTTTTCTTCAAAAAGGCACGGAGAAAAGAGGCCTTCAGCTTTTCCTTTCGAGCTTTAAAAATGCCAGGACACATTCAATTATATGGAAAACGTTCCACCATTTTATTAACATAATTTAGGCCATTCAGAGCGTTCTATTTAGTTTGAGCAAGAGTGTTACGCCATAATAATAGGCAACAGAATAAGCCCATATTATAAGTGCCGAAGATCAGTGGCGTTACTAGAGAGTAACACACACACACACACACACACACACACACACACACACACACACACACACAC